CAATTTATCGACAGAAGGGATGAGAAACTGGTTCTCTTAGAAGGGCTCCCGAATGGCTTACCTCCAACCAAGCCAAAGATTGCCAGTACATCTCATACTGAGCCTTATAAATACTTCGCTAAAGCTATGCTTGCTTTATTTCGTGATCTCGTATTATGACAGATCAGTTTAATAATTAAATCATAGTTTTTTTTAAAAATAAATAAGTAAATCACTTCGCAATCTCGATTAAAACAAGTTAATAGGGTTGTTAGGGATTATCCTTCTTGACGGATTCCTATTGATTATGCAGATGTTGAATTGAACAATGCGCAACGGCAGAGGAAGTGCGTTTGCATTATAAACACGCGCGTAAAATTACTAATTTTTTTGAAAATTTATTTATGTTTGTTACATGATCTTATGGAATCTCACATCAACACTGCAAGCGATAATTACAAGCACAAATTTTGCGAATCGTGTTTTCCATTGGTCGATCCTTTACCGCTTCCTCGCCACTCTGACCAATAATAGCAGAGCGATATCATGATCGCAGCCTCTTTCTGATCTTTTAATTACGAAATTCTTCTCCCGCCGCAATTTCTGAAATATCGAAATTTCTTCTGAAATGCAAAATACGCCTATTTTCCTTTATACAGTTAATAAGTGTCAAAAAATATTATATGCCGAGGTTTGGTATACTTATAGTGATTAGAGTTATTTTACAGTGCCATATAACAACAACTGCAGAAATACAGAACAGAAAACGTATGTTAAATGAATAACAGCCTTCAGTAGTTAGTTCCGATGAGTGTACAGGATCGTCCAAAGCTGATCAAAGGAATCTTGCAAGAGATAGAAAATTCTGGTGATGGATCAAGAGCTACCGATCGGGTATTGGGTTAACGATTGCTGAGGCCCCTCAGCTCTTATTAGGCTCCCAATTACATCACCTGTTTTTCCCCCACTTCCATAGACGCAGGCCTCCCAATTTTTGCTTACAACTTATGCCTGAGGCTAGATCTACCTGTCTGCAGCTAGTTGGACGTCCAAGAGAGGATTGGTACGACTAAAAAGCACTCAATATCATCATAGAAGGGGTGTGCGATAGACTTACCTCCACGTGGTGCATCCTGGTGGGTGTGCGATAGACTTACCTCCACGTGGTGCACCCTGGGAAACGTATACTCATACGGTAAAAAGTCTATTAACCGGAAGTTTGTGTGCGATAGACTTACCTCCACGTGGTGCACCCTGGGCAGCGTATTTTCTTACGGCAAAAAAGTCTATCACTCGGCTTTCGTTATATTCATACGGCAAAAAGTCTATTAACTGGCAGTTAACTACGATAGACTTACCTCCACGTGGTGCACCCTGGGCAACGTACTTTCTTACGGCAAAAATTCTATCACTCGGCATTCGTTTTTTCTCATACTGCAAAGAGTCTATTAACCGGCAGTTGACTTCCAACTTCAAATTGCCATGACCCTACTGAATGTCATATTCGTCCACTTCCTTTGTACTAATCTTACATTTTCTCTGTCTTTGTGCCTGTTTGTCTGTCTCCTTTACATCTTTGAATCACTCTTCTATTCCCCCCTATCTAATTTTTCTCACTTTGATATTCCTCTTCTCTGTGAAGCCCGAAGTCAGCCATGGGGCTAATGATAGGTTTCATCAAGCCCACCATTTGAAATAAATAAATAAGTATCAGCATAGAACCCTAGTAGGATAAGAAAAATGCGGATCATTGACTTGCTCTTCAAAAAGTAAATCACCGGAATGAGTCATATATGCCCTAAAATCGTTTTTTCTTATTTCAACAGACTTTCATTTGTAGGCATTTTTACATGGATATCGCTCAATGCAAAATCCTGATCAGCAATCAAAATCGCAACTATCTTGTAACAATATTTGAATAATATCAAATGTTTATTTATTTATTTTATCAAATGGCAGGCGTTCTGATAGTTATCATTAGCCCTTTAGTTGACCTCAGGCTTCACAGAGGGGAGGAGGAACATCAAAGTGGAAAAAAATCGAGAGGGGGGGGGGGGACCGAAGAGTGCTTCAAAGACGAAGGTAGAAAAAAGGTGAGGTGAGTACTGTGGAAGTAGTCGAATATGACATACAGTGGGATCATGGCAGTTTGAAGTCGGAAGTCAACTGCTCATTGAAAAACTTTTTTTTTCGTATGAATATAGGTTGCCCAGGGTGCACCACGTGGAGGGAAGTCTATCGCACACCCCATAATATCAAATGAAATTTATTCCTTACTATACTCTTCTTATGAGAGCCTTATAACACCAGGCATTAAAAGGAACACGGAAATACCGATTTAATGGTGCAAAATGAGGTTCGAAAGGCAGGCATTCGGTGAGAGATCTGGTGAGAAGTAAACAGAAGAGTACGTGATCACTTTGAAGAAGACATGGGCAAGATCTACCAAGCGATCAATAGATTTCTGAGTGGCAAGGGGAAATGCCGTCAGATGATAAAATCTTTAATTCCTATTTCGAAACGACTCATTAAATGCGAGTTATTCTCATAGTCAGTTCCTATGACAAATGAACAAGAAAAATGCCATTTGTACTGTTGAACAACTTCAAGAAAATGTCGAGTTCTCAATTTAAGTGGAACCCTTTGCCAATAAAAGGAAATTCTGGAGGTGAAGACTTACTTTGTGATATCCTTGCCGATAAAGTTCTTGATGTCCAACTCTTGATTGAGATCGGGTGCCTGTTCAATAGTTTTGAATGCCTGTTGAGCCCAATGGAGTGCTTCCACGAGACATACCTGACCCAGTTGATGTGCATCCTTTCTAGTTGTGGGAGGAGTAATTGTCTCGTCGACATTTCCATTGCTGTCGCCGAGCAAATTCGCTATCGACAG